TCCCATGCATTAGGGTGGGTGTCAAGGTCACCTGAAAGTCAGGTCAGGTCATTGACCTTTGGTGACCTCGGGTGACCTCGGTTCACTTTTTCGTGTTTTACATGTTTCTAGGCTAGTTTTTGGAGCTGAATTCGAATTTAGCAACCATTTGAACATTACCGAAGTAGTTTTGGTGCCTTCGTAACATGTTACGAAGCTGTCAGAGGCGGTTGACACGTACTACGAATACCCGTCACAACCCCTACTGGTTGACCTGACCTGACCTGACCCGACTTGGTCTAAATGCTTAAAGACATCTGTGATCAAAACTAACACCATATTCGTGATCAACACCCCGAAAAACCCCTTAGCAGCCACACTTTACGACTTTCTAATAGGTCCCGATTTTCCCGACTTTGGGTCATTGACCTGACCTGGAAGGTCAACCAATGACCTAGGACCTTAAAATTGGGTATCATCGGCTTCCTCTCGTCACGGGCAACACGCTCGTTTTTTCCGCGAAGCTCTAGCTCGATCAGGGGCCAAACGGCAAGGGGGGGGTCCAACCGACCCCCCCCCTACACATTAGAAGCTGGCAAACGCCGCACACATGCGAGGGTTAATAAGGTATATATTAGGGAACTCGAGATTCTGACCCTAGCTATCGAATGTGACCATCAGAAATCGGATCGGATGATCGGTGTAGAAAAAATCGGGGGACTCAAAATTTCAATCCGTGATTTGACCTTTAAGGTCAAATATTTTTAATAAGGTATATATAACGGAACTCGAGATTTTGACCCTAGCTATCGAATGCGACCATCAGAAATCGGATCGAACGATCGGTGTAGAAAAAATCGGGGACTCAAAACTTCAATCCGTGATTTGACCTTTAAGGTCAAATATTTTTAATAAGGTATATATTAGGGCATTCGAGATTCTGACTCTAGCTATCGAATGCGACCATCAGAAATCGGATCGGACGATCGGTGTAGAAAAAATCGGGGACTCAAAACTTCAATCCGTGATTTGACCTTTAAGGTCAAATATTTTTAATAAGGTTTATATTAGGGAACTCGAGATTCTGACCCTAGCTATCGAATGCGACCATCAGAAATCGGATCGGACGATCGGTGTAGAAAACATCGGGGACTCAATTTCAATCCGTGAAGATGACCTTGAAATTTAAAATGAATACGATATTCGGAATCAGCGTCCCAAACTGCATCGGATAGGCTGGGTTTAATTGAAATTCGGACTCGACGCTGAATCCGTCGCGGAATACGACGCTAACTTCACGCACGTGGCCCACCGCTGGTCTCTAGGTTCCAGGTCCCGCCCATGCCGGTCTGTTACGGCCTCACACTGACCTCTAAGGGGCCATGCTGGCCTGTAAGGACCCGCATTAGCCTCTGAGGGCCTTGCACTGGATTCTGAAGACCCGATGCTGGCCTCTGAGGCCCATCTTGGTTTTTGAGGGCCTTCTGCTGGCCTGGGGTCCAACACCGGCCCATGCCGGCATTTTAGGGTCCCACACTGACCTCTGAGGGCCCATGCTGGCCTGTAAGGACCCACATTAGCCTCTGATGGCCCAAGTCGGCATCTAAAGGTCTCATCCTGCCCTTTGCAGGCCCTGTACTGGTCTCTGAGGGCCTTAACCCTCGCCGGCCGATGGGGGGGGGGGGTGCCGCCCCTCCATAGTTTTTTTTTTCGCGATAGCTCCGAACACGCCGGCGATAGAGAGCTGAAGCTTTGCATACCTGACCTTTGAATCAAGCCGCCGGATCTTTTGACACCAACCGTATTTTCGGGTCAGATCAGGTCACTGACCTGACCCATGAGGTCATAAGTGAACCTCTGCACGGTCTTCAGATGTCGCAACTTCGCAAAGTCCTCACTGCCAGAGGAGATTTCACAGGGAAATGAACCTTGGAGGACCTAGTATCCATTAGGAGTCTCACAACTTGTACATCTCGGATTTTTCCTAAAGGTCATATGTCAGGTCATTTTCGTGACCTCACCACTAGGTATAAGTCAATGGGGATAAACTGAAAACTTTTTCTGGCGCCGGAAACGATCTCCAACTATCTCAAGCACACCGAATCGTGATTTCATGCACTCCTTGCAAAGTTCGATGCGTCACTTTTGCAATGTTGACCTTGCGCGACGTCATTTATGAAGTTATAAGGGTCATATTGGTTTGTCGTCAATAACTACCGATCAAATTGAGCTAGCGAGTCGGGAAAGCCATCAATAGACTCAGGAAGACCTGCCGAATCGAATGATATGCGACATGACCTCCTACGACCAATTTCGTGACCTGGGGGCGCTGACCTGACCATGACCCGAGGTCAACACCCTCAGTTTACCTCACCCAAACAAAAAGTATATCATTCGACGCGCCTGAGAGAGGCGAACACGATGCTGGCAAAATCGCGGCTCTGCGGCCGTTTTTTGCGAAGTTATTCACCAAAAACGGAACCGTGCCTGGAGGCACTTGACCTGACCTCAGAGATCACCGGTTGACCTAGGACCTTAAAATCGGGTATCGATCTCTGCGTCTTGTAACGGCGCACACGCTCGTTTTTCCGCGACGCGCTAGCTCCACCTGGGGCGAAACGGCGAGGGGGTCGTACCGCCCCCCGCCCCCTCGGCCGGCGCGTATGTAGAAAACCTATAGGTCCGGGCTGTCGAGGGTTAAACTGGCCTCTGATGGCCCAGACCGACCTCTAAAAGTCCCACACCGGCCTCTGATAGTGTATCAGCCCAGTTGCAGTGGTTGCTGATATAAAAACCTTTTAAAAACGTTATAGGTCGGGCTGAGCCTAGCTGGGCCATTCATGCTGATTTTTATAGGTAGGGGAGAGTGGGGCAAAGCGGCCACCCTAACGCTTCTCACGATGCCAACGCTTGATTTTTAAACTTGGAAAGATTATTTCTATACCAATGTGATCCCTAGTAAGTTGCCTTTTATTTCAACTGCGTTTTATTTCCAAAGGCGTTCACATATGAAAGATATTGACAAAACTTTAAACCTATACATATTGGCCACTTTGCCCCAAACCCTGGGGCAAAGTCGCCACCGGCGTCTTCTCAAGTCCCGATATGAGAAACAAAATAGTTGCCTCGTGTACGACTAGTGTATTTGATGGTGACAAGGTTAAGCGAGGATGGATGTTTACTTTATCATCTTCCACCTGTAGGTAAACAAAGAAAGGATTTTCATGAAAATAAACATTTAATTGCATTATTTGGTAACTCATGCAACTGAAAAGTGGCCATGATGAATGCATGACGACACATTTGAATATAAATAATGTTTTTTATCCAGATGGAAGCAACTTATGGCCAATTGAGGGGGTGGCCACTTTGCCCCGGCCACTTTGCCCCGCGCATACCGTCCGAGACAAAAATATTCCAGCTTAGCTATTAGTGGGGTAAAAAACATTAAAATTGGTAGAATACATGTACGATAACCATGCAATGCATGAACAAGAACGCTTATAAAAATTCCAAAACGGTTATGGAATAACATAACATTTAAAAATTGTAAACATAGTTGGTAACCTGGCAAGAAATGCTTTTCCGTGTTTCACAGAACAATGGTGATGGGCCTGAAACCCCGGTCTGGCTCATTCGAACGACCGTGAAGAGAAGTATAATTGGAAACCATAAATTGGAACTGACGCCAGCTATGAAGGGCTAAAACGATGGGTGGCCGCTTTGCCCCGGGTGGCCGCTTTGCCCCACTCTCCCCTATATTGAAAAGACTCGCTTTGCACGTTTCACGCTTGCTCGTAATGAAAAAGTTGCTGGATGCCTCTGGAATTTGCATGGGTGCCAACGGCTGCGGAGGACAGGGGAACGCGTCCATCAGTTTGAGTTTATGGACGGGAGTCTCCCTGAAATTTTAACCAATTTTGTTTTTGTTTTTGTCTCGATTTTTTTTTATCTCTGAGCATGTTTGCGAAAACAAAATGGCCGAAATCCGAGGAGAAATTGGATTTTGGGGGTAGGTTAGGTTTTGGACCTCTGGGACCCTGCCCCCCCCCCCCCCCCACACACTTTCGAAAACGTTCCTACGCCTAGGTATGTCACGCATAGTACGGTAGCACGTAGCGCCATCGAATTTGGAACACTATTTGCGACTTCCATTTTACATTTTACTGAAATCCGAAAAGCTTAAGGTCCCAGGGGCCATTGGCAGACCCAGCCGGACGTGGGGGGGGGGGGGGCAAGTGGCCGAAACGGCCCTTTTTTCCATGCACGGCCATTGGCGTACTGTTAAAAGTCGGGTATTTTACAGGGGCAAACGGGCTTTGGGGTTAGGACATGGCCCTAAATGCTCCCTGGATCCGCCAGTGTCACGGGCCTCAGGTCAGGTCACAAGGTTACAAAACCGTAACATCGTCATTATATTAATGTACGATTTACCTATACAAAATCCAGAGCTTGCATAAAATATAAATCCCATTCACACTTGCAGTAATGTATTTATCAATTGAATATCCAAAAATCACTTTCAGTCTTAAATGCTTCTATTGTAACTTAATTTAATTGCAATGGAGCTAATCTATATTATGAATTTCATTAAAAAAAAAACTTAGAAACCATCTCGGCAGTGAAATAAGAAGAAAAAAAATGTGAAAAAATAAGTCATTTATAAAAGTAACTTTTATTAGGTATATATCTCCTACTTTGCGTGTAAGTTCATGATTCACCAGTTTCATGAGACTAATGAAAAATAGACAACGTCACCTTCAGCCTTCAGTTCTCCCAAATAATCGAGGACCATTCGAAGCAAACTTCGAAACAATATTAGCAGTAATATAAAGCTGGGCTTATTGGAGGTGACACTAAGCGCGCAAGTGATCCATAATACTGTGCATTATTCTGTTCTAACTTGCACATACTAGAAACGAACGTCTGCCGTACGCCCAATCAAATAGCTGTACTTCTGCTACTACTAGCTTCATACTCGCTCATTTGTTTATTCACGTAAGCTGTTGGACGCGTATAGTGTAATTGAACACAACAAAGCCATATTCCTGAATAGTCGTTCTTGCATACGCGTTTTTCCTGTGTAACTAGGGCATAAAATATAAGTAACTCAAATTGAGGTTCATAGCAATTTCCACAGTTTTCATAGAGCGTTGAATATATTCCATTTTCATTGGAAGGCCAGTTTCTTTTATGTTGGGACGTCTTGTTTGGGACCCACTTCACGTGCCCTAATCTAACAACGGCATTGGGACCAGATTCTGTCCATGACTTCAAACCTGAGCCTTTTATTTTAATTACTCAAACCATATACTATCAAAATGCCTGCATTTGAGGTGAGGAGGTGGTGGCTTAACTTTTCCGGTTTTTTTAAAGCTCACTAAAAGTTTTGCTCTTTGTTACTATTTGCATTTACTTCCATCTTCACCATGTGTTCGCAAGCTAGGCGAACACATGATTAAGGTGGGTTAGGGGCTGTGCATTCTGCTTGGCATTCAGTGGAATCTGTGGGCTAAACCTGGGATTAACTGGAACATCCCAGTGAGTGCTTGCTGCACAATTAGTAGGTATATGCTTCTGTTCCTGAGGCTGCTCCAATCTCTTTTCACATTAAGCCTCTCCAACCTCTTGTTTCGAAAAATCATTCCGGTCACTCCTCTAAGCTCTTGTTAGGTCATCTTAATTCCTCATCTCACCACCACCATTCCCAACTCCCTCGTCTGAAACGAATGATGGATTTCTAGATGAGGCTCCGATAGACACGCATTGGCACATGTACCTAATACAAGCTTGAATTTGTTCTGCATGAATTTGAATGAGATTTGAAGGGCCTTGAAATCATTGTAGGGGTTGAGGAGGATGAGGTATTTTAATAGTACTTTCTGATATCCATAATTTTTTATTTGAACACAATGTTTATCTCAAAATCAATATAAGTGCTCATTAAATCCTCATCCTTTGCTGCCCACAAACAGCTGACTTCCTTCCAAAAATGTTTCCATAACTACTCTGAAAAAGAACTCCTTTTGAGGCTCATCTGATAGTTTTTTAGATTTGCCATGGGAGCACCCATATTATTTTTTTTTTTGTAGGATGAAGGTATATATCAAGTGTTAACACATTTTTAATGTGCGATCAAGACATAAATCAAATATTTTTTATTTAAGCATGACTGAAATTCCTGAGAGTGAAAATGTCCCAATTTACAATTTAACTAAGATCTGACCTGTTTTGCCTGAGTGAAATTTTTGAAATTTTTCAACAGTTTTTTGTGTTATCCATTTCTAGCAGATGCTAATGGCCACATGAATTTAAAAAATCAAAGACAACAGCCTACCAACTTTATTAGGTGGAATGCTAATAATTTGCTCCCCATATCAGCTGTTTTAGTAATATAGGTATCAGTGGTATTTAAATAAATCAGCAAGATGTGACTGGTAGTCAGAATGCTTTTGAAATGGTGTTCACACTTGTTTTGTGTAGTTCTTAACTTGAATGTATGAATGTGAAAGCATCCCTCTGTCACTGTTCTCTATACTCCTGCTGAGCTCCATTTTTCAGCATTGTCATTTATATACTGCTTGTGTTTCAGGATGCTAAGAAGTACTTGGAAAACATCTTGAATGGGTAAGAAAGGCATTTAATCAGTAAATTTTGGTTGCTTAGTTTTCATCTGGCTTGGTTGTATTATCCCTTTTAAATTGCAAATTAAGGAAAGTATTTATATAATTTAATGTAAAAATAGATCCTATGCTTCAGTTTTATATATTACTGAAGTGAGTTGAATTAAATATACTTGATAATTAGTTTCAAAGAAAAATGTCGTGTTTTATCCATGCTGCTAACATTGGGTAGGTGTAACATTATTACAATTTATGTTCATGCTTATCTTTCTATGATAGGTACCTTTTATGTTAATTTCGCCTGCCTTTCCTGTCCCTTTTCACAGAGACCATGGGGTGGAGGGCATTGCAATCCATGACAAGGATGGATGCTGCATTGTCAAAGGTATGTGGGTTACCTTATTCATACAAGCATTGTCATATTGCCCGCTGAATGAAGTTATCATTCAGTGGTTGTATAGTAATCTTCTGTCTTTATCCATATTCGATCAGATATTCTCATATGCTGTTTTAGGCCACCATTCATTACCCAAATCTTATGCATATCCAATGCAAAAAGGCAAAAGCAACATTCAGGTGAAATACTTGAAAAACAGAATATTTGCATTCATATTTTGTAAAGAAAAATACTCATTTAAATTGTTTGAAGTGTGCTATGACCCTATGAAGTCTGCATTGACATTGTCACAAAGACCTTTTGATTTTGGTTACATAGATTTTACTGAATGGGTAGAACCATGGTACACTGTACCGCAGTCTCCCCGCCGGCCTGTCCTGTACAGTCAGTCTTAAAAGTACCGCGCATCGTTGCGGTGGATCCATCAAGCCCGACCGTGTAACCACTGCTAAATTTGAGAGCCACTGAACCAATTGACATCCTCATCCATCCTCGAGGTCAATTGATGCGGTGGCTCTCAAAGTTAGCAGCCCTTTCTCGGCCGGGCTTGATGGATCCATCGCGCCGAAACGCAGTACTTTCAAGAGAGACTGTACGCACAGAGCATTTTGTTGAGTTCTGAGCATTGTTTTCTCCTCTGTACCGCAGTCTCCACGCCGGCATGTCCTGAGAGTGCGATGGGCGTCAAATACCTGTCGGCATTCTCCGTTCTCTCGGACCAGGCAGCCAAAATGAACATGGAAAAGAACAAGAAGATCTTCCATATGTACTCAAAACACCAGGTATGTCCTCATAAGATAACTACGTGCAGTGTCCATTTTTTACTGGTTCGATGAGCATGCCAAAAAAGCATCATGGAACAGAAGTTCTGGCGTGCTAGTATGTCTATTTTTTTCTAACTGACGCCCGTCGTTTTCTTCCAAGAAACGTGTAAAAAAATGTAGGGTTTATTTGTCATAGCGATCGATACGGTTGTTTCAGTTGTAGGTATGCCAGTAACGCTCATGACTGTGGTTTTCTAATGGACGTCATTGGCATCGTGTGGTGCTATTATATCCGTAACCTGTACCTTGGTGGTTTATATTAATGACCCGAGCAGTCACGTCTGGAGTCCAGTGGACTGATGTGGGTGCGTATGTAGGCTACAATGCTTATACTGGGTGTGACTGACCTCTAATTATACTGATGTAAATGGGTTGCCGTGCTTTGACGGTGATATGGCCTTACTTCCAGTTTCATATTGTTCATAGTTGACATGACTGCTGCCATAATTAGTGATCATTCTGTGATATGACTGGGTTTCTGTATTCAGTTCATACTGGTACTGGTTATACGGGTTATAGAGTTTATAGTTTGACGTGGCTTGGATCATGCATTTATAATGTGATGTGACTTGGTGACCGTATTTGTTCTCTAAGGCGTGACGGGCCTACCGTATTCGTAATTTAATGTGACTGGGCTAGCGTATCCATATTGTGACATGACAGGGTTACCGTATTCATATAAAGATGTGACTGGGTTACCGTATTCATAATAGGACGTGACTGGGTTACCGTATTTAATTCGTTATATGACGTCACTATTTTAATTTTAAGCTCTTACTGGGATGTGGCAGGTCTGTCATGTCAGACCTGTGACGTGACCAAACCCGTACTGCGCTCGTTTTAACCGTACTGCGCTAGCTTTAACCGAACTGCGCTAGTTTTAACCGAACTGCACTACCTTTAACCGGCCTGTACTCGTTGTAACCACACAGTGGTCCACACAGCTCTCGTTATTACCGTTGGTACTGCGCTCGGCAGGTGGTGCAGTTTCGGCTGGACCCGGTCATTCTGACGGTGGTGGCGGCCGCCTCGGCCAACACGGGCTACCTGTCCTCACTGGACGTCACGCTGGAGCCGCTGCTGCAGAGACTGCAGCCCCTGGTGCGGCCCCACTGAGCTCCGAGTCTAGCGGCGCTCGCCGGTGAGGGTGAGGGGAGTGCGAGGGTCGGCCTCACGGACGGGAGAAGCGGGTACCGACGGTGGCGCCGCGCCGCGGCTACTAGTGGAACTAACTAGGACGGCCGGTCACTGCAGATGGCAGCCCAACAGTGCCAATTTTGAGCCGATGTATGCGGTGTTACTGCGTTAGCGTCTCTGTCGAGGTCTCCAGACGTCGGCTGACACCGAGAGTCGTTGCATTCGGTGCTCTCTCTGACTCAGGGGCACATGGTCAGAACTGAGAAGCGTTCGCCTTGTGCTCGCTGAACGTTTATCCAGCTGTATTCGAGAGGGTGTATGGCGTATGCTCATGCTCGGCTGTTTGGAACCACCGTAGTTCCCGACAAGTTACGACGGGGAATGTAATCGTGGTCGTGGCTGGCCAGCCCGTATATTTTATTGGGTTAGCGAGGTAAACGCTTTACTGTCTTGGGGATTTAAATATCGTGAGAACTTTTGTGTATGATAAGCTGTTAAGGTTTATGTGCATTATGCCATCTGCAAATGTGAAATCGACTAATACATGTAATCGATTGACATGTGTTCGATTGTCGAAGTTTTATACGGACCTGGCCGAAGCATTGTCTCGTCTTTCTGCGTTGCTTTGAGCGTCCTTTGTCCTTATCGGCATTATGGCATTTCATCTCTTTCGCTGTTTTCTCTTCTCAATGTACTAATTGCAGCGTTGGCGTTGACAGCCTTTAACATTTGCCTACATAATGCTCGCGTGCCATACTCTCCTCCACGAACTGATGCCGTTTCTAATCATGCTTGGTAACTACTTTATTGGATATAAGCCACTGCATACCAACTTTTTGCTTGCAAACTTTTTCTATGCACATATCTACGGGTGATAGGGGAAGCCGGGGGAAGCCCGGCATAGTAAGCTCTTTTTCATTTTTATTACATACCATACGTGCTGTATAACATGTTGATATCCTGCTAGCTAGCTAAGTTCATTGGCCGTGTTTTCCCAAAAATTCGGTTTCGTGGAATAAGTATAAGGTTGAGGAAATCGAGTTTTAAAAAAAGTGTTGATTTTTCTGAGGTAAGCCCGGCATAGGGGTAACGCCGGCCACCTCCCCAGCGCTTTACAACGAGTTGATGAAACCATTATGTGTTTTCCAAATATTAACGGAAAGTGAAATATTAAGGTACTGATTAGCTCTGGACATCTTAGAGTTTATGTCACTACTGGTATTTTAGCTAGCGTCTACTACATATTCAGTACAGGTCGATGAAAATCGTGATGCAAAATTGACAAAAAATGTGTATTTCAAAATTCCTTAAAATTTATTTTTCTTTTTACCTTAATGCATCATATTGCATATCATTCGACTCGGCTGATGAAGAAGAACACAACGACACCATTTTTGAAGCTCTAGCTTCACTGTCTGTCGCGTTATCTGCAAAAACGTAGTTTGACCCTAGTTGACCTTAAAGGGACTATCCCACCTTTAACATGGGGTTTGAGTTGAGATAGCCAAGTTTGCGGCGAGGTTCAGAAACCACTATCTATCTAGGTTGCAACCCCCGCGGCCTCTTGGTGTTGAAGAAATTCGTTCCCTTCATTTGAAAATGGGCCTTGCGCAAGGCCCTATCTTCAACATGGAGCGACCGTTAGTGTGACGTCACCTCGTTTAGTCATTCTGATTTAAATGGGTTTGTTCGTTGAAAAATCGCTTAAAACTTGGTCTGAACTTTGTTGTGGTGCCTACAGAGTAAAAAGAATCAACTTTATGACAGTAATGTGGCCTGGGGAAGGAGGTAATTTTGGGCTGTGACGTCACATATTTGAAAGTTTGTGTTTGGAATATGGGAAGCCTAAGATGTTTAACCCGCGCCGGGCCGGGGGGGGGGTGTTTGAACACCCCCCCCCTGCGTTTTTTTGCAGATATCTCAAAAACGGCGGCGCGGAGCACCGCCGTTTTTGGCACACCTGTTCGTACATCTTTTCCGCACATGTTGTGAAAATTTCAGACCCAGGTCGCCTTAGGTCAGGTCACCAGGTCACGCCAAGTGACCTCACCTCAGAAAAAATAAGAATGCTCGTCATAGCTACACCGATTGATCGATTGCCTTGAAACTTTCAGCGATTGATTAGAGCAACAGTATCTATAAAATGCATATCTCGGAATTTTGATATCGGTGACCTAAGGTCAGGTCAATTTTGCGGCCTCTCCATTATAAGTCAATGGGAGAAAATTGAAAAGCGTCTGTTTTGCACGAACGCCATTCTAGACACTCTCAAACATCGAGATGTAGGTAAAATTGACACACTGAACCAGAAAATGGCAACTGTGACCCCTCGTTATGTCCCCGAGGTCATCTCAGGTCACGAACAGAATTTAACAGTTTTTCGCTAATAACTTCTGATAGAGGCGTCCTAGAGCGCTGAAAACGCCTTAGATGTGTTCGGCTCGACGTTGCGGATCGACTGACATGCAACATGACCTTTTCCGGTCAGGTCATGACCTTGACCTGAGGTCAAATTTTCAAGTTGACCTTTCAAGGTCAACTTATAGTTCATTCGACGCGTCTCGACGAGAGGAACACGATGCTGGCAAAAGTAATGTCATGGCTCTTTTGAGTCAAAAGTTATCGCCGAAAAACCGATTTTCGTAAAAACGGCTATTTTTGGAGTTTTTGTCCTCTGGAGGCTAAACCGTTGACCTGAGGTCAAATCTGAGAACATTACTCAGAAAGGCCTGTAAAAGTGCTATCGAATGCGCTTTTCCGTGGCGCTGTAGCTCTATCGGTTCCCGAGATAGCCGTTGGCAGTTTCCAAAATGTTGAAATAGTCAACATTTTACCTTTGGTGACCTCTGGTGACCTGACCTTTGACCTGACCCAAAAAATGACCGAAGTGTTTTCGTCCTTATTTTGGACGTTCTTTTGATTGCCGCTTACCGCGTGTCGCTACGTGGCCCAGGAGCCGAGTTAGAAGGGGGGGTGTTCAGACACCCCCCCCCCCCCGGCCCGGCGCGGAATCTCAGAGCACCGGCCCGGCGCGGGTTAATGAAAAATAAATGCCAGAACCGTGTTCCTGGTCATCCAATCTATAAAGTCGGGCACAATTTAACTGGTTTCAACAACATTTTAGAAGGTGGGATAGTCCCTTTAAGTGACATGACTGGCTTTGTCTATGATAACATGTTTATTTTCGAAATTTATCTTTGATCTAGGTGTAAACCAAACCTGCTCAGTACCTATTATCTCATGGAAAACAGTGGTTTAGTGGCATTGCTCTCGGTTGGGGGTAAGCTTGGCCACTCGCCCGGGGTTACCCCAATGTGCTAATTTTTATTTTAGAACAGCGATATTCGAAAAAATGTCATACTTAAGCCAGCCTGCCTCGTCACCCCTCACTACAAACACTTAAACGGTCCTTACATAACATTCGTATAAATATTAGTACTGTATGGTATAACATTAACAGTGCAACATATCTCACTTTTTAGCTAAAAACCCTTAAAATATCATTTTTGCGCTATAACTTTAACAATATGCAATTTTTGTCAGTCTTAACTTTTTTGCTGGCGTTACCTTAGCTGCCACGCTGAAAGGACAAACAGTTGAGCATTTTATTGTGAATAATTTAGCCGGAAACGGGGTGGCCGGGCTTCCCCCGCGCCCGGGCTTCCCCCGGCTTCCCCTACTTGAGATAACGCTGACACACAACAGTGAGACACACACGAAATAGCATAAGAGCCAAACGTTTTTTTTTTCAATCCGAACCATACGCTTAGTTTTCTACCTCTGGATATGCGTTGTAGATAGATGAATGAAAGCAACCCTCCGGTGCCGAGTGCCGATCAAAATTAACACCCCGTCATCGATGACCCCACGCGTTCAAACTCAGCCGGTCGGACGATACACCCGGCTGACCAGCCGGCCGAACCCCCAGCGGACCGGCCGGCACGCGTGTCGATCCACCAACTCTCGGCACCGACCGCCCGTCACCGGTCCGAGCCCATATGAGCCCGGCTGACAGTGTCTGACGGCTCAGCTCATCACAGTCTGACCCCGGATCGGCTCCTGTGAATCCAATCGGTAGCCACACTGTGTCGAGATTTGATAACGGCCGCGACAAAGAGGCTGGAATGCGAATCGTCGGCGCGGGTAATGGCTGCCGGTCCCCGGGGACCGAGGTGGCCCGTGTCGGAGTGACCGACTCGCGGTCGGTCACAGCCGAGGGCTAAAGGTCACCACCCCCGCGCTACCGGGTGTCACATGGCGAGCACGGAGGCAGCTGATCCTGATTTTTGTGTAGGTTGTAGAGCGGAGAGAGAATGGACCGGGTTACTCATCCGTCGGACCTATCTTTTTTCGCCTCGGTCGAGAGGGGTGGGGTACGACCTTCTTTGCCGTTTCGCTCCTAATTGAGCTGGAGCCTCGCGGAAAAAACGAATGTGTGGGCCATTACGAGAAGCAGCGGAGGGTACCCGATTTTAGGGTCTTAAGCCATCCGATGACCACTGAGATCAGGTCAAGTGCCCAAAGGTACGGACTCATTTTTTTGTAAATGACTTCACTAAAAAACTGTCGCAGAGATTCGATTTTTTGCACCATCTTGTTCGGCATGCACAGGAGCCTCGAATGATATAGCTTTAAGCTGAGAAAGTTGAGGTCAAGGATAGGTCACATCCACTCAGGTCAACTCAGGTCACAACATGGGTTGAAGGAAGTCAAATCTCATCATTTATTCTTCTTCCATACAGCAGGCTGAGTCCATTCGAGGCTTTTCCGACCTGCTAGCTGACTATCATTAACCCTATTCCTGGCGGGGGGGGGGGGGCCTCAGGAGCCCCCCCCCCTGAGGTTTTTTGGTTATTTCTCCCAAACGCTTTGAGCTAGGAAGCTCAAATTTTCTGACTTTTCCTAAAAGGCTTTTACGCAACATTTTGAAAATTTTGAGTTGATCTGACCTCAGGTCAGGTCACCAGAGGCGGTTTGGTGACCCTACCTCAGAAAAGTTTGCAATCACGCCAGAGCTAGAGTTTTTGACCGATCAATTTCTTCTCTTCAGGCTTTAGTTAGGGTACCAGTATGTGCAATTTGTATATCTCAGAATTTTCATATCTGTGACCTGAGGTCAGGCCAGATTCGTGACCTTTACATTGCAAGCCTATGGGAAAATATTGAAACGCCTCCTGCTTCGTGTAAACGAGTCAAAACCACCCAATTCTTTCAGTATTATGGAAGATTATCTCATCGGTGATGATCCTGGTGCCGCTAATTGACAGGGGCACCGGCAAAGGTCATCTGAGGTCATGTGACGTCATAAATCGTTTTTCTGTCAATAAATCACGACATGATGGTGCTAAAGACTTGTAAGTGGTACCAAACTGGCCTGCTCGCCTGGTCAAGGCGCGTCGTTTGGTATGCAGCATGACCATACCCCACAACCTCATTGATGAATGACCTGACCTTGACCTCAGGTCAAATTTCAAATTGACCTGTGAAGGTCATCACATACTTATTTCGCATCGCCTCGGCGAGAGCAACAAAAAAAAAATGTATTGGTTTTATGTCTC